ACCTACATATGCCGAAACCCGGGATCGAACCAGGGACCTTTAGATCTTCAGTCTAACGCTCTCCCAACTGAGCTATTTCGGCTTGCGTAGAAACATGAGTGTAATGTAATGTGTAGTGACTGAGCATTTTGTCGGTGTGCCCACCAGAGGGCAGGTTAGCATAGGACATTATGCCTTGATTATTCCCCCTCATTAATAATTAACAAATACTTAAAGTGTCTCAAGAATTGTTTTATAGAAGACACAAATGGCCTATGCCTATTATACCTATAATATATAACCTATAGTGTGGTGTAGGCCAAATATGCTGATAGGGCCTACTGTTACTATTACTTGCATGTTGTACGTTCAGGTTAAAGTTAAGGTTTTTACAAAATACATATGAATGTGCATTCAGACACACACACACTTAACCTTATATATGTAGGTTGGCTTTCATGAGGAGTAGTGTGTTTAAAATGCAGATTCTGAGCAATACAGAGCCTAGTGTGCTGCACACAAATTCACACATGATGGTGTTGAATTCTTGGTCGAGGTTTGAGTTAATTTAATTGTCATTTAATTCATTAAATACAACAAATAACATTTAAATCAGGACAGGGGTTACCAAAAGTTTAAATTAAAAACATGTTTTTAATTTAATTTAAAATGTGGTAAATGTTTACGATCAGGATCAGATCTTTATTGTCCCTCGAAGGGAAATTTGATTTAGAGAAGAGGGCAAGAACACCAACAAAACATAGGACATTAATCACAACAGTTACAGCAAACAACCAAATAAAAAAAGACGTATCAGTTTTTTAAAATCTGAAACCATTTGGTAGCCATGATAAAGTGCTGCTGGGCCGTGCAGTCAGGGTTCAGTGCAAATTAAGCACATTTATTACTAAGAAGAGAAAAAGCCATGAAAATCTGATGTGACAACAGAGATAGACAGTAAAGTATACTCGCACTGACACATGAAAGACATCATGTAGTCACAAAAGCTAAAACATAGAGAAGAGAGTCATCTGTCCATCATTCGGGTGATACTCACCAGCTTCACTCCCGAGATATTAGCACACAGTGAAACTACAGCTTTATAATGGAGTCCAAGAAACAGCAGCATTGGTTTTAAACAGGTACGTGTGTTTAAGAATAACAATTAACAATAAAACTCATTTGGAAGTGAAAATGAAGGTGACCTTTATATGTTATAACCCAAAACATCTATTGTAAACATCCATCAGATTTAGCCTTGATGGCAGGGGAGCAGGGAGCCCGGGATGGAAGAGGTCAGATAATGCTACAGCATGAGCGGCAGATGTTGAACTGCAGGCAGAGACCCTATATTTGTGGACATTTTCACTAACTACTGAAATGTGTAGCAGTCTGAGCTGATGAAATTCCAACAGTGATACAATTTATCAGAAAAATGTCTGATTGTTTAGAGTTCACATCAGCAGCTGGATGTGCATCATCATATGAGCTCCTACAGTAGCCTACTGTACATTATCATCATGCTGTTTGCCTCACGCTGGGTGTTTCCCGCTTCTTTTCAATACATGTACCCTTTTACCATTCCACTTTTAAACGTATTATTGTCCTAAAATCAGCATACTACTATACATACATAAGCCATGCAAAAAATGCAGAGTATTTGTTTTTTAATATATATTAATGGCAACAACACAATGTTTATAGTTTATCTGATGTTGTTTATTGCATATTAAATCAAATTGTAAAAACGTTATTACTTACAGAATGTAAACTTTATCTCTGATAGACTTCA